CGTGTAGTGTCCGGAGGCTCCAAATGGGGTAGTAGAAGGCATAAGTGAGGTTGAATACATGTATTCCAAAAACAATAGAAGAAATGGGGGCCTGAGCGTGTACTGTCAGATAGTCATATAAACAAAGCCTTACAACACGAACAAAGCTTTACAGTGACACGCTAAAAACAATCGCATCATTGAGGCTAGCCGATTGTGTTAAGAACTAGAATCATTGTCATTCAATGTCAACAGAGAATGCTCTTTATGCTTCTTTCCCTTACACTGAACGCAACTCGAGATCCATTTGAAGACGCTGTGGGGACCGAAAGCTGTTGCTCAGTCTCATGGTAACTGATGGCTGGTGCGACTGCCTCGTGAGTGCTTCCCCACAGCACCGAATGCGTTGTGATGACTGGTGTGGGAGGCAGTCCAGTACTTTGTTTATACGACCACCTAATTTCTGGACGCCTTGACGCAATGCTTTATAGATGTGAATACCAGACGTTTGGCGGTCACATTAGGATTGGTCTGACCCCTATACACGCGAGCTGGCCTTCGGGCCACGCTCAGGCCTCATTTACCCTATCGTCTTCGGAAAATATGTATTCAACCTCACTTATGCCTTCTTTCACCCTATGGGAAGCCTCGAGACGCTACCCTTGCTCTTGTGAACTGGCCTTCCGGCCAAGTCAAAGCAGTGTTCCCGCCATTTCCTTTAAAATACATGTATTTCACTATACGTAATGTCATCTTTAATTTGGTGGGTTGTCCAGAGTGCTATAACATTAGATATAATTCGAGCAGCAAATAACCAATAATTAGATTAGCTGAATGACCACATGATTGGTACTAAAAAACCCATACAAATTAAGGACTTGCTGTTCGCTCTAACGTAACAGCCGGAAATCAGCCAAACACAAAAAAAATATTACAACAGCATTGGGATATTATGTTGGTGAATGTCCCCATCGCTCTTCAAGGCTTCACATTTGGTAGGGAAAGGCGTTAATTTCGGCTTAATACTTGCATGCGAGAAGAGGTAGCCTTGGCTGTAGCGTCCCATGGCTTCCCATAGGGTGGGAGAAGGTAGTAAGTGGAACTGGATACATGCATTCCGAAAAATACAGAGCAAATGGGCCAGAGCATGGCCCAGACAAAATCCTAGAGGGACCACCCCACGCCAGATAGTCACAGAAACAAAACAATGCATTAGCAAACACATAAAAACGTGCAATTTTCTTTGAAGCGGGTTTACCTATATACTTTGCATTAGCTGGATTCAGTTTTTTTCGCAATATACAGTTTCATTATCATGCGCATTTTATAAGCAAATAATTGTGTATGCCTTCAAAACTTTTTAAATCTATAATCCAATATCGATTGTAATTACTTGCAGTGAAACAAACTTTTGTGAAATGCTTGTTTCTCTTAATTGGAATATGTGACACCGGTCCCCTCGATTTTGCTAGTGGTGTATATCTGGGTATGAGTGAGGCGAAAGCTGAGGTGGTTCCCGCGAAGCGTGTCAGGCAGAAACAACCTGGCAGATTATACGTGAAGGCCGTGTTTACTGGCTACCGTCGTGGTCTTAGGAATCAACATGAGAGAACTGCTCTTCTTAAGATTGACGGTGTCAACACTGCCAAAGAAACTGAATTTTATATGGGGAAGCGATGTGCTTACGTCTATCGGGCACAGAAGTACTTTAGTTTTACTTTTAACTTTCTTTTAGGAAAAAGCGCTTGCCACGCAGGCACAATCCTACCAGGATCCGCGTTATCTGGGGCAAGGTAATGAAACCGCATGGGCGGAGCGGGGCGGTACGAGCACGATTCAAACGCAATCTGCCCGCTAAGGCCATGGGTAAACGAATTCGAGTTATGTTGTATCCGTCCCGTATCTAATTTTCAATAAAACCGCTTGGCTCCCATTTTATGAAGTATGACATGGGCCTATCCTGTGTTAATTTGACCTCGCGTCGTGTCGTCCTCTTGGGATGTTACTTCGTTGAGCAACCCGTTAGATTCAAAAGCTGTACTTGCGTCTAGGTTAGGCTGATTGTAAACTTCACTTATGGTTTGCATTTGAATGCGGTGAGGTGCGTCGCCAGAATCTCCTGTCTCTACGCCTCGCGGCCCTGCGCCACTCAATAGTTTGGCGCCTCAAGTGATGTTTCGCTCGTTGTGTTGCCCCTTTTCTACGTTGGTCTCTGATTAGGCATCGTGTCGGTTGGTTCGAATTGGATATGGCAGTGAACCTATGCTAAACTCGGTTTGAGAGTGCGATAACCCGTTAGGA